CTTGCATACTATGTCATTGCTGTCCTTGTTTATTATGCAGTGTCCCCCATGACATCTGATACACTTGTCCACTTCACATTTTGGACCTTCAAATCGTACTGGACAGACACATTCTACACTTCCATCGTCAGAAATAGTACAGGATTCAGAATTCACACAATAATGGTGGCAAACATCTGCAAGCATCATGAAAGTTAATTACTAAAGGGCATTAAGGAGTATCATAGAAAAAAATAATACCTTATTTTTCTATTTTAAAAGATACTACTAATAAAAATAAAATGGTGAATGAAGCTGGTGGCTCACTGGCAACTATGAGAATCAAGAATACCCCATAAACGAATACATAATATATTAACGATGTAGCCTTGACAAGCAAAACAGAAGGATAAACTCATAAGAGTTTTTTTTTTTTACTTCTAGATGTCTACACCATTTATGGCATCATCCCACACAATATAAAGACTACTGATGAGAAAAGCAGAGCAATGTTAATGTATTTAATGGGACATTGGCTGAATAAAATTCTTCTGATACGTTCACATTACCATTAACAGCATTATGCTAAACTGAAATGGAAACAGTATTTTGATATAATTAAGTTTTATTTTCATTTATCCACATATTAAAATTTCATGAAGTTCTAATAATAATATATAAAGACATAATCCATAAGTTCTACAAAAACTACGTAGATGCTTATCTTTATGGACTGTGCAAGATCCCATTATCTTATTTAACTGCTTAATGCCAGCAGGACTGAGATTTCAAGTACTGAATTCTTTAACTCTTTAGAAGCACCAGTAACTGTCTCGGTTTTTTTCATATCCCATTAAAAACCCACCAAGTTGCCTCCCTGAAGAAGCTTCCAGAGCTACAATATACTGGTATCTTAACATTTATGTTCATTTTTATTTATGAGGCAGTGACAACTTTCTTTTTTTTTTAAGTCATCATTTAAGCTCCTTAATGGGGCCAAATAATTCAAAGTCTCTATTTCTCACTGTTTCTAATACTTTCTCCAGTGTAGTTAACATGGTGTGTTGAGCTTTTGGTGGTGTTCCTGATGGACAGATGAAGTAATTGATGTATAAGTTGTATCAATTCTGAACTATGCATCTGTATTAGCTTAGTTAACCTGGTCCATATTAATAAAATATTACCTTTCTGACACAACTAAAAAATTCAAGCCCTTTGAAGCTCAGCATATGGCTAAGGGTGAGTCAGTAGCACTACAAGTAGGGCATTATCAAGCTGTTCACTAGAGAACGAAACCTTGGCCAAATGGCAACCCCAGCCTTGAGTCTGGAAGTGTAAACTCTCAAGCTGCCCTTTGGCTGGGGGCACGTTGTAAGCAGCAGGTTGGAGAGTACTAAAATTAATGTATTTTACTGAATATATTCAGGATGGACGGTTTATGAGGGTATCTCATGAAGTGGGAAACATTTTGCTTATGTTTCCCTGTGCTGTTTTTCCTCCTTGCAGAGAAGTTAGGGTAATGGTTGGATTTGATGATCTTCAAGGTCTTTTCCAACCTAAACGATTCTATGATTCTGTGGTAAGTATGTACTGACTGCCATGCCATTGGAACTCACTGTGCTGGAAAAGTTCTGCTGAAGGACAAAGCATGACTGTTGGCGGAGTTACTTCTGTTTGATTATTCATTGTATGTCTCCACCTATCTGCACAGGCTGTAGACTCACCTGCTTATGGAATCACTACTGGGCAACCAAGAGACTAAAAGCCAAGAGGCTTAAAAGACACTAAATGAAGTAGTTCATTGTTTGCCATTCCCCAGTTCAAGGGACAGAACAGTAATTTGCAGCAGGGGGGCTGTTTTTTTAACAAAACACGCTGTAGTTTGAAAGCTAATATTGAGAGACATTTTATGGCAAAAGCATTGCAAGGGGGAAAAGTTTCCAGGTACATTAGGACAAGACCCTGCCCAAACCTAGGAATAGGAAGTTCATACTCTAAAACAATTACTGTTTTTTCGTACTGATTGTAGTTACAAACACCTTTAATCTTCTGCTGTATCTAAAATGCATATGCTATGTTTGGACTGAAATGACACAAAAATAATACCTTTTTTTTTTTTTCCCCTCTAAAGAAAGGAATTTCAGTTTCAAGGAAAGTAATAGCTTGTGAGATCACTATATCCACTTTGAATGATTGTAACTATGTGAAAAAGTTTTCTACCTTTTAGGTTGCTTGGGCCTTAAATGATACAAGAAATGAACTTTAACTAGTCTGTATGTCTTATTTCAGGAATTTAAAATACGGAGTTATATTCAAATACATCAAATTCATGTGCATATAATAACATGCACAATGTTAGTAGAATTCTATGTAAATTCATTCACTTAAATTTATTTCAGCAGTGCCGGTGCCTTGACACGGAGCACACATTTTGGTTATTAGCCCTTATGTGAACTAATCACAGGAGAAACTCTGCATTGGGTAATTGGAGACGATAAGTATGAGGAAAATAAGGTCTTTGCAATCTGGCAGTACTGCAAGTAAATGTCTTCTCCCCACCAAAAAAAACACTAATAATATTTTCAGCTTGGGAGCATGAGTAAAATACCTATGCACATTCATGTATCATCCTTTGAATATGAACTAGTTTCAATCACATCATAGAAAGACTGAAAAAGATATCTTAGAGGCAACCAATCTTTGCAATAATGTTATATTAATATATTCCAACACACATACAAGGAGAATGTGATTAATAAGGCAAAAAAATCATACACATGTGTGAATAAAGCAAAAAAATCATAGATATGAATTTATATACACATTATTAACTGCAAACCTGTATAATTTCATGGAACTGCTATCGGCCACAAAAAAAAAAAATTTCCAAGAGATTGTAAGACTATTATTTTCCTAAAAGTATTGAGGTTTAAATAAACAAAAGCTTAATTTTGTTTTCTATTTTATAATGTGTTCGAGTCTCTGTATTGTGGCCTTTTTCCTAAGTGTCAGCAGACAATCCAAATCTGATTATAAGTACTGTTTAAAAAGTACCCCTAAATTTACATTTAAATTAATTCTTTAAAAAAAAAAAAAAAGGAAAAGATGTTTGCAGAAGCATTCAACTAGAAACAATTTGTTTGGTTTTGGGTAAGCCTCAAGTAAATATTTTTTCTTAATCTGTGTGTCTGTCTGTGCATGATTTATGTACTATACTGTTTTCAAATACCCAATTGTGTTTGCAGATAGTTATTTGTGGATCCATGCAGTTTGTTTAATACCAAGTGGGAGAGAATCACAATTACTGCTGGTTTTCCATTCAAAGGTTTCAATTTATTTCATAGTCTCCCAATTGGAAATACCTTCAGTTTACTTCAGTACAAATCCTATTTAAGATACACACTAACCCTTTCCTTGTTTGACAGACCTTTCACTAAAACTAAATACTTTTTGTATCTTGTAGATAATTCTAAACCAGACCTTTATAACAGTTAATTTCCCTCCCATTTTGTTGAAATCTAGCCTTCTTCAGCAAATTCACTGAATTATATACAAAAGAGATGATGGCTTTCACATTTAATGTTCTAGTCTATAACAAGCACTATGACAGTCCTCTATTTTATGGTGTTATAGTCAAAGTAAAGCAGGAGAAGGAAAAAAAAGAAGATTTAACAAAAATAATTCTGATCTCAGAAAAATAATCAGTTTTAGGTTAGGGTTGCTAGGGAGTCATCATATTGAAGAGACATGAGGAAGACAAACGGTCATTTTTAAATGAGTGACCAAAAGAAGAAAGTCAAGATAATGTTCAAATGTCTGGTGTCACTGGAAAACAGATAACGGTGATCCATGCTAAGAGAAAGCATGGAGAGAAAAGAAAGATAAATAGAGTAAGAACAGAAGGCCTGTTGGCTGATACTCTTCTTTCCCCTCTACTCTGTAGAAGAAGTAAAAATTTAGAGAAAATTCTAAAAAGTGAGAAAAGCCTTTCTAAAGGCATGGAAACCTTCGCAAAACAGTAGCTCAATGAGAAGAGACTGATGGGTCAGTGGAACGGCAAACTATGGAGGACTTCAGATGCAGAAGACAGAACCTAAGACCTGAGAACTAAACAGAAGAATACTTAAAAATCCTGATTTTCTATACTAGGAGGAGGCAGAAACCATACTGAAGGTGATCTTAGACTGAGCAAGATGAAGGAATACAGAGCTGTTAAACTCAAAAGTCAATATGCTGCTTATTGGGGCTAGAAATAAAAATGAAAGGTAAAGTAGCAGCTGAAGACACAAGTGATGGTCTGTGAAGATAAATGATACCAGAGAAATTCTTAAACCAACTACTCCAATTCACTATGTTAGGTATTCCACCAGCATAAGGTAAGAAATATGAGAAGCTGAAGTAGAAAAATTCAACACAATTATCTGATTTCTATTGACAAAGTCAGCTGTCTTGTACAGCTCCATTGTACGTATTCATTCATGAAAATACTAAAATAAATCATTCCTAAAAAAGTTTTTTCTTCTCCATGTAGATGGATATTGTGGAAATATGCTCAAAGATCACTTGAATACATCAGATTCCATTCCCTTAGCAGTATGAATCATTTTGGAGCAAAGTTGACCAACGAGTGCTGTAGAAAAGTCATGTTAAACTTCCATTTTGTAGAACTCTTATTATAAATCCAGGTTTAAGAGTATTATAAATCCAGATTTAAGAGTTTGTGAAGATTACTTACAATACTGACACCTGTCTCCTGTATATTCAGACAAGCAGTTGCAAAAGGGTTGATTCCCAGCAGTGACACTGCAGGTTCCTCCGTTTTGGCAAAAATGATCGCAGACCGTCTGATTGCAGTTTGGTCCTGTAAAACCCAGCGCACAGTTGCAGGTAGGCCTCCCTATTCAAAACAAAGAAAACTATTTTATGATAAAAATAAATAAATATTAAAATAATAATCAGCACTTTAAAGATAGATACATTTATCATAACGGTAAGTTTAATCTATGAGCCCAACTACCTTTCTTTAGACACTAATAAAACATGACTTTGCGAACATTGCTTAAATTCAGAACTTTTTAAAAAGCAAGTCAGCACTGTAAGCTACAGACACCTCAAAAACTGCATCTATGCATTTTACACTTGTGCATGTATGGACACTGACTATTTATTTGGGAATTATTTTAAAATATGACCTTAAGTAGGAATTTAAGCTATGACAAAGCTCTTCAAATTATCCTGCCAGGCTGGGTTCCTCCAGTCGCAGAGGATGAACATTTGCGTAATCAACGTTGATGCCTCTTCAGAATACCCTCCATTATTCTCAAATCTACAAACCTTTATATATAATCACATGAATATAGAAATATTTACTAATGCATTAATAGCCAACTTCTTTACATAAGAATTTTTACTAACACACAAATATCTGTGCCTGTTTTGCTATCCTATCCCTCTCATATAATAAATACTGTAACGTAAAAATTGCTGTCTTTCATGAGACCAAAGATGCCTGTAAGGTCAATATTTAATGTCTGAAAAGTAGTGAACACCTAGGGATGAATATTTGCACAAAACAAACTGCTAATCTATAGCTTCTTTTTGAAGGGTTTTAAAAGAGTGTTTCAAACCTGATGCATTTTCCTCCTATGATTCTTCCCTATTGTAATTTTCCACTTCTTTTCCTTATCTAAACCTCATGTCTAAAGGATTTATAACTTTGTTACAAACTCACTGTTTTATTAAACTCTTCCACTTTTCCCTGACTTTTTTCTTAAGGCTTATCTTCTTTAAAACAAATTTCTAGATGTTTTTCCATCTCCTGACTTTGCTTTTATATCTCATTTGTGATCTTCTCTTCAAGTAAATGACCTGACGTGTCCAACTAGCCATCTCCCTTCTCACTTCCTAATAATCTATTCTCATTCTTGTTTATGGCTTACAAAACTTTATTTTTCCCCCCAACCTCCTCCCCTTTGCTTTCATTCAGCTTTTAGACTTTTCTTAAACCAGAGTTTAACACTCTTCTTCGTCCTGGCTTCCAGGATGAGTAAGGAAAGAGACCGAAATTAATCAGGGCCTGAGGACACTTCTGAAATAAAGGGGCAGACAAGATGATCTTCCTTTGAATCATAGGGATCCCAACCTGCTGGCAAGTACAATCAAGAGCTTAACTGGGCCACTGCAGAGCGAGGGACAGCTGACAGGCAAAGACTCATCCCTTATCTCTGAGTAAGGGACCATGCATGGGCTAGCAGTCGTCAAAGAGTAAATAGGTGTCAGGCAGAGCAAAAGGAATGCCTCGTAAGTAGACTACAGAAAACCAAACCAGTAACACACGTGCTTTACATAAATGGTAAAAGTCTAGGAATTAAGATGGGAGAACCAAAATGTGTAGTCTTGAATGGGAACTTCAGTATCATTGGCTATAGCAAATTTGGAAAAGGAAGGCAACCAATGGGCTGTTGTAAAACTTATACATGTTTCCTTGATATCTAGTCTTTGCCCATCAAGAAGTCCTTTGGACTGGAATTGCAGGCATAAATAGGAAAAATAGCCTATTAGATTCTATTAGTGACAGCCCAACCAAGATAATGATATGATGTGGAATCCAAAAGATCAGAGAAAGTCAGGGAACACGTTAATGGCGAGAAACTCCAGTTATCCCTGCATTTACACTTGAAAAACTTCACACCTCGCCATAAGGCAGAAATGAACTTCTTACATATGAACAATCCTATTTCATGAAGGGGTGGCTTAGCAAGCACACAACAAAAGCTATGATTGACTTCGGCCTGACTTGGTTTAAAACATAAAGAAGAGCCAAAATCCTGAGTAGTCAAATGAAATAACATTTAAGGGTTACTTTTCCGTAATAATCTCATCTTCACACTGATCTACCAGGAAATCCTTACCACTGCCTGACTTACTAATGTATCATAATAACAAAATAACATCATAATCCTGATGCAACATAAACTAGGTCCCTTCCTCGCTGTCTTTTGTCTCATGCGTTGTTTCCTCACTTTAGTTTGATGTCTGGTGTGGGTATCCACAACTACTTTCACATTTGCCTCCTGAAGTCTTTTAGCACACCTGCATCTAAAACCCTGAAATGTGCAACCCTTCTTACTTTTTTTTTTCTCCCTCTCTATTCAGTTGGCTGTCTCATTAATGTAATGTAGATTAAACTAAATATTCCATAAACCCTACAATTCTAATTTTCTTGTGGTCTGCCTTTATTTTAGTACTATGTAATCATTTAATATCATATTCGTTGAAGAATCTTTCAATGCATGTGAAGTGCCCCCTTTTTTTCTACTCTCTGATTCATGCAGAATGATTTATTTATTCTTTTTCCTTCACTTACTTCTTACTCTTCTTACATGAAATCCTTCATGTAATTCTTCTCTTTATTTTCCATTTTTAGCTATGCTAATTTAAAGTGTTTTGCAAATCATCCTAAAGGCCATGATATCAGTTAGTCTCTTCCTCTAATGAGTACAGCAGGAACAAACCCATTGACTTAAAAATAGCTCCAACTATTTTAATATGCATCAGCCTGGTTATTCATATCTGTCCCCTGTGATCTAAACATTAAATCAAAGATGTTGAACTCAGATGTTAGCACTGACTCTTTTTGTTTTTCCCCATGTATACACTTGTATTTAAATTTGTCCCCCTAAGCCAGGGGGTTTCACATAATCCTTCATCTGAATCAGTGCTTCAATAAAAACATTAAAATAAAATAGCGATAGAATATAGATCCAGAGCTCTGAAATCAGTTTTTATTATTAATACTCCTCTATTTTTTAAAATGATGGGGCAATGATATTTTCCTAGTTTGTAAAAAAGATTATTCTATTCTTTGCTAATGTAGGCTGATAAATATGCCAAACTGCTGACAGTTATATGAAAATTTAATACCGCATAGCCTAAACCCCATTTTTGTCACTCAATTTAACATGACTTTTAGTAACATTAATAGTTCATTGCCTATTTATACACAGACTGTTGGCATCTAAAATAATACTAATAATGACATTTTAATCTGCCTTATTCTCATAAATTATTTCTGATACAAAATGGTTCCTGGAACAGTTTGATAAAACTGCAGTGTTAAGCAATGACAAACAATGCTGTAAGGTTTTGTATCATAGAATCAGAATATTGATTTATGTTTGCAAAGGAAATAGTCATGTTAACCAAGATGCCATACATCCAAACTAAAAAACATTCCATGGTAATCTCGGGCACAGAGAACATCAGCGTTTACACTGGTTGTGAAGTTTCAGGATTAGAGTTGTACAGAGACAGAACGGTCTCTTAATTCCCAACCTTTACCACCACAGAAATGTTCACAACACATAACTGTATAGAAAAGTACCAATAAGAAAAGTGGTTTATGGAATGCTAACTAGTCCAAATTCAGATAGCCATCTTTTGGTGTATTTTATGCAGAAATGAGAAAAAATAATTTTCTGAAAGAAAAACACAAAAAAAGTTTCCTGTTTTGAGCTCTTCCTTCTTCAGTGCAATCCTCAACTGGATTTACTGTATGAGAATGCCTTTGTCTTTTCCTCTGCCTATTACAGATTAGCATCCTAGCTTTCGCCTATCCTCTTCTTTAGTCTCTTCCCTAACTTAATAATCCCCAGAAAAATTTCCTGTTTCCATTACCTATGTTGAAAAATGTTATTTGGCAAAGTGTCAAGGGGGACAAGATGGCAGCACATTCTCAGCATCTCATGTGTAAATGTTCCAATTTCAAAACCACAGTAATAATATCTAGAGAGCAAGAAGCTCTGTTCAGGATTTCTCCACTCTCAGTGATTTACAATGAATGTCCATGCACTTTGCTATATACTATCTCTAATCCAATTCTTGAATACACTGAGTACCTCACTATATGTATAGGCAAGTGGAAACATAATGCATGTAGTCCCTATATTGATGAGAGTATTTTGTATTTAAAATAATTCTAAATAACAATTCTAAAGACATTAATTGCAGAGAATACATTAAAGGGCACCTGTTAAGACATATAAAAAAATTAATAAAAATAGTAACGAAAATTCTCTGGGGAAACAATGTACTTGAAAGTCACTATTCTCTGGAGATTCCCTACGGAGCCTCTCAAAAAAAATAACAATCATGATTTACAGAATTTTTTATCTTAATTCTAGAGTTGTTAGAACTTGAAACAAACATAAAATTCTCACCTATTTTTTCAAATGTTTGCACAGAATTTAATAAATTAAAGGAGAATACTTTACGGTGACCCTAGAACATATGAAGTTGGTTTTGGCAGTAGGACATGAATAAAATGTGAAGTTTTTGGCATGAAGATGAAATGTATTGTCCCTGTTTCTTACAAAGAAAAGTCATCCATAAGAAGATGATAGGGATCAAAATCCCACAATGTTCAATTAGGTTTTGATGAGAGAGACTGTAGTTACTCCTATTTTGCCAATATAATTTGCTATATAATAGCAAATAACTTTTCAAATCGTCTTCAAAAATAATAAATAATTTAGTGCACTGTCTCTGGAATACGTAGGTGATTTCTTTTGGGAATCTACTCATATATCTTAAACTCCTATTTACATTATTTTGTAATGAACAGATCTCTAAGGAAATTAACTTTGATTTATGCTATTGCCTAAGAAACAGAGAAATATTATGTATTTTGTATGTCCACATTAGGTATTTTGCAATTAAAAAGAAAAAATAGGGAAATAGCACTTTTTTTGTAAGCTTTCTGAAAGTTTTGAAAAACGAGATCATCCAGATGAATGCCTGCACCAAGACATAGATTATTTATTTTTTCCAGTCAATGACAAATTCACTACCAGCAGTGTGTGGCTTTAAGTTGCTATTTGTGAATATGCCCATTTCATT